GGCGTACGTCACCTAGGTGGTTTTTCACAGAATATTCCAGACTTAGGCGTGTGGCTTCCTTGCACATGTCAATACAAAAGGATCACATTTGTTATTAATAGTACGACTAATCAGCCAACTGTGATTATTCTCTCACCAATCGTGCTTTATACGCGTCATCATATTACTGGATGAGCTATTTTTTACTTGTTGCCCAAGGGTTTCATTTACGGTATAAATATCATCTTCCAACTTGTGGAAATGGATTGCCATTCTTGCGCACAAGCTTACTGTTATTTTTGCCAAATTTTTTACTCAACCTATACTCAGCACTTCTCAGTTTTCTCTCTCCATTTTTGCTACCCCTGGGTCGGCGAAGCCATTACCAGAATTCTGCAAATTTTCATTTCTTCTACCTCTAGAGCTATTCCATTACAACTCCATTGATGACACATGTGTATTCGTTATTAATAGAAAGGATTTGATAGAGCTGTTGGAGTGTGATTCTATCGAGATGGGCGTAAAATATGGAGGAAAGGACAAATTTACGGGCTTTTTGTGTCCGACAAGTCAAAATACGGGAGTTCAAATAAGGGTACCAAAAAACGGGAGTCGGAAGTACGGTTTCCAACTGGAGGTAGAGTTTTGAAAAATAAAGACATACTTGTGGTTTGATTTGGGGAATCCGACTAGGGATCTGGCAATTGCTTTTGTTGAAAGGCAGATTGCATCTTGGCCGAGATTTAGGGTGCGCAGTGTGTTGGTCTTCCCCTGGTAGAGAAAAAGTGAAAGACCCGAAATGGATTACAGGAGTATCATCCGTCTGGTTCCCTGCTACCACGCCGGCTAGGGTGTCGGACTCCCCCGATATCGCCAGAGCGTCCCCAATCTTAGCCTCTCCTGAAAACCTTGGGGAATCCGACTAGATTTTTCTTTTTTTTAGATAAAAAAAGAAATATTAAATAACGTGCAACAGATCTAATTTTTATACCTGTGGTCCTAAAACTGAAACCCGTTCGTGGAATCCGACTGGAAATTAGATAAAGTACTACTAAATGAAATATTAAAATAATAAATAACATATTTGTTAAAATGTGAATAACGTAATATTAAAATATAAATAAGAAATAATAAATTAATATGTAACATAATAATTTCATTTAACTATTAATTTCCATATTTTAAATTATGTTGGTGCGTTGAATGAAATCTTATCTGATGAATTTTATCTGGTTAATTTTTATCTGATTAAAACTTATCTGATACATTACTAGTATATTGCTCTATTATTAAAAATTCTAAAAAATTTATACATGATTACTACGGTGGACTTCTCTTATCTGATGATTTTTATCTGATCAATTTTTATCTATTTTAAGTGATAAATTTTATGTGATTAATTTTTTTTGTTAATTATCTGTTTAAATTTTACATAAATTTTTATGTGGGATGAATTTGTACAAAATTTTCTTTATAAAAGTTTATAGTTGGGTGGTTGTTGAAGTTTTGTAGTGGGATGGGTCTAAGCTTTTTTAATTGGCTATTCCAACTACAAGATTTTTTTTTTTAATTTTTAAAATGCCCCTTCCTACGGTCGGAATTCGCTCTTCCAACAAGAGGGTATTTTTTTAATTTTTGTAAAAAGTTAATTTCCTACAGTCGGAATTGGGTCTTCCGACGCTACTTTTTTTATTTTTTATTAATTTCTTCCCAGCCCTAACTCTATTCGGAATTGGGACTTCCGAATCCCGTTAATTTGGAAACCCTTAATTAAGAAAATTAACCATCTTTTAACTGAAAGAACATATAAAGAACGAGCCTCTACAACACCCTCTAAGCTTGATCTATTCACTGCTGATAAGATATAAAACGATATGTAATAACATACAAACATGATACGATAAATTAAAAGAAGAGAAATACAGTAATAGTCGACTAACCTCAGGGTATTAGACAAACCGCGTGGTGTAGAATACGTCCGGTCTAAGGAGATGGAAATGGAGAGAGCAATGTAGCGTACGACCGTCTGGCTGAGAGATGAGATCAGAGAGATGGAGGAAATGGGCTTAGGTTATTCCAGATCTTGGCACGTGATTTTCTAATTGGACTGGATCAAACACTTTAGCCAATAACTTTACATCATTTAATTTGACAAGGGAAAGTTCCCGAAATAAGAGTAAAAAGTTTGAAATTCCAAAATAGGACTGTCACGTTTTTATTCCCAAAATAGAAGTAATTACTGTCAAGTTTGGAAAATACTGACATGTTTGAAGTCTGATATCGTCAAAACATGGCAATAATTAGTCATATTTTGGGAATAAAAACATGACAGTCTTATTTTAGAATTTTTCAAAAAAATTTACTCCTATTTCAGGTAATATTATCATTTGACAAATAGTAAATTATACTACGTATTTTTTCTAATACCCATTCGATGTTATTGTCGATTAATAGACTAAATATATTGAAATTGATAAAATTCTAATTAACCGGCTTCACTAATTTGGTGATTTGCAAAAATATTATATTTAAAATATTTTTCAATGATAAATAATGAAAAATCCTATGGAAGATAGTTAAAGTGATCTCTTACGGTACCCAAAAAGTAATCTAAAATTCATTTATGTTTATTATTATACGCGGTATAATAATGCGCAATAATAAAAAATTACTCCTATGTGACTAATAAATAAGAATGACTCACAAGAATGATAAGAATGATAACATTTTTGTAAACATGTTTGTACCCATTTATGTAAACCTTAGTTACATAAAATTGATTGATAAGATTGATAAGAGTCTCTCAATAGCTTTAAGCCAGAGAGTAAATGCCAGAGTTAGTAATAAATTTAAAAGTTATGTGTTTTAAATCTCATAAATTAATCCAAAATTCAAACTACGCGTAAAATTTACTCACATCAACAAGCATTGAAATATTTAAACAAAACTTACAAATAGTTTTGGCCACAATTTATTATTTTATATCGATCATATTTTATTAATCTTAAATTTTAGGGAAAGTTCCCGAAATAGGACTAAAACAGTTTGAAAATTCCAAAATAGGACTGTCATGTTTTGTATTCCCAAAATAGGAGTAATTAGAGTCAAGTTTGGAAAATACTGCCATGTTTGAAGTCTGGTCCTGCCAAAACATGACAGTAATTAGTCCTGTTTTGGGAATAAAAACATGGTAGTCCTATTTTGGAATTTTCAAACCTTTTTAGTTCTATTTCGGGTAATATTCTCTAAATTTTAGTGTTCATTTGATGTTATTGGTACTTTTGCACTTTTATTTTATTTATTTCATTTTAATCGCTAAGTTTAGTTAATTTTTATTTCCCTTTTGTCCGTCTCTGTGAAGACGATACTCGTACTTTTCACCATTTTTCTACAACTATTTTAAGTGCGAGAAAACACTCATCAGAGTTGCTCTGGATCGATGGGAGTGCTGAGTCCAGACTGGTGGTCATTGTACAAAAGTACCAATAACATCAAATGAACACTAAAATTTAGAGAATATTATCCGAAATAGGTCTAAAAAGGTTTGAAAATTCTAAAATAGGACTACCATGTTTTTATTCCCAAAATAGAACTAATTACTGTCATGTTTTGGCAGGACCAGACTTCAAACATGGCAGTATTTTCCAAACTTGACAGTAATTACTCCTATTTTGGGAATAAAAAACATGACAGTCCTATTTTGGAATTTTCAAACTGTTTTAGTCCTATTTCGGGAACTTTCCCTAAAATTTAAGATTAATAAAATATGATCGATATAAAATAATAAATTGTGGCCAAAACAATTTGTAAGTTTTGTTTAAATATTTCAATGCTTGTTGATGTGAGTGAATTTTACGCGTAGTTTGAATTTTGGATTAATTTATGAGATTTAAAACACATAACTTTTAAATTTATTACTAACTCTGGCATTTACTCTCTGGCTTAAAGCTATTGAGAGACTCTTATCAATCTTATCAATCAATTTTATGTAACTAAGGTTTACATAAATGGGTACAAACATGTTTACAAAAATGTTATCATTCTTATCATTCTTGTGAGTCATTCTTATTTATTAGTCACATAGAGTAATTTTTTATTATTGCGCATTATTATACCGCGTATAATAATAAACATAAATGAATTTTAGATTACTTATTGGGAACCGTAAGAGATCACTTTAACTATTTTCTATAAGATTTTTCATTATTTATCATTGAAAAATATTTTAAATATAATATTTTTGCAAATCACCAAATTAGTGAAGCCAATTAATTAGAATTTTATCAATTTCAATATATTCAGTCAATTAATCGACAATAACATCAAATGGGTATTAGAAAAAATACGTAGTATAATTTACTATTTGTCCAATGAGAATATTACCTGAAATAGGAGTAAAAGAGTTTGAAAATTTCAAAATAAGGTTGTCATGTTTTTATTCACAAAATATGACTAATTATTGTCATGTTTTGACAATACCAGACTTCAAACATGACAGTATTTTTCAAACTTGAAAGTAATTACTCCTATTTTGGAAATAAAAACGTGACAGTTCTATTTTTAAATTTCAAACTTTTTACTCCTATTTCGGGAACTTTCCCTAATGATGTAAAATTATTGGCTACAGTGTTTGATCCCGTCCAATTAGAAAATCACATGCCAAGATCTGGAATAACCTAAGCCCATTTCCGCCATCTCTCTGATCTCATCTCTCAGCCAGACGGTCGTACGCTACATTGCTCTCTCCATTTCCATCTCCTTAGACCGGACGTATTCTACACCACGCGGTTTGTCTAATACACTGAGGTTAGTCGACTATTACTGTATTTCTCTTCTTTTATCGTATCTTGTTTGTACGTTATTACATGTCGTTTTATATCTTATCAGCAGTGAATAGATCAAGATTAGAGGGTGTTGTAGAGGCTCGTTCTTTATATGTTCTTTCAGTTAAAAGATGGTTAATTTTCTTAATTAAGGATTTGTTATAAGCTGTAACTTAATGACAACCAATACGCTGGCATTGTTGCCTTCGTACGGAGAAGAGCCAATTTATGTAGATGAACTGTGAGAACCTGTTTTCCTAGAAATATGAATTGTACGGAGTATTAAACAAAAAAGGGTAGGATTGGAAAACTACTCCTATGTAGTGACTTAAAAAATTACACTCCTGCAATTTAAGTTTCATTTAGTAATTTCCCCTTTTTAGTATCCCTATGGCGGTGGTACATATATAAACTGCACATAAACACCATCTTTTTCCGGCAGAGGAGGGAGAGAAGGGGTTCAGTGAAGTGCTGCGATGGCGGAGAAGCCCCAACCTGTTCAGGTTTTGTATTGTGGAGTTTGTGGTTTACCCCCTGAGTATTGTGAGTTCGGCGGACCCGACTTCGAGAAATGCAAACCGTGGTTGATCCAGAACGCACCCAATGTCTATCCAGATCTTCTTAGAGGTATAAACCTGTTTGGACTGTATATGGGAACATATATCTTCTCAATTTTAAAGAGGCTTATGTTTATTTTCTTTGACTAAATTTTTATTTACTTAACCAATAAAATATATATATTTTCCATCATTTTTAATGGAGCAAAAGACTCACTATTTTTTGGCTTGGGAGTTGGGAATATGATGGAATAAAGCAAAATAGCACACTAAACTGTCTGCGCTTCGTTATTATGAAGCAGTAATCAGTGCATGCAATTTTCGACGCAGATTTCACTATGGGTCATCCGGAAACAGTTTCTCGGTGCTTTAGTACAGGGGTAAAACTGCGTACATCCGACCCCCTTACCCCATCGTAGATGGGAGCCTTTGCGGCACTGGGGTAATGATGATGATGATGATGAACCAATAAAATATATTTTTGTACCTACTTTTTATAATACTGTGGATTCAAAGTCATCATGCCATAATGGTTTAAAAAAATTATATAAACATAGCTAAAATGGTTTTCTAAGGTCACTCCAAGTAGATCGTATAACAAGTAACACCGGTTCTCATACAAAATTTGAGGAATAGTTATATAAAAAAACTTAACTAGCAAAATCGGTTTAGTTCCTATATAAAAAATTCAAAACTCCACAATTGTTATGGATCTAAATCAAATCTAAATGGTTTGGTTCGGTTCGGTTCTTGCTTTTATCGGTTCATATAAATAATTTTTTTTCATTCCCAAAGTTAACACATACTCCCTTGATCCCTTCATCCCTTGTAACTTTGTCAAAATTGAGTGACACGTAAAATAATAAAGTAAAGTGGTAAAATTAGTAGGACAACTAAAAACGAAATTTTGCAAAGTTGCAAGGGACATAGGAGGTCATTTACTTTTGGCTACATAAAAATGTCAAAATTAGAAGACAGGGAATAAAAGTATTTCCGAAGTTCAAATCACTCAAATAACAAAGTACAAACTTAATCAAGTAAACACCTATTGGAATAAAGAATATTTCAATTTTTGCCGAGGCGTAGCTCACCTGAAGGAAAGGGGTGCCATAAGGGAGATCCCGGGTTTAACTCCAAACAAAGACTTGTGATGGAACTTTACTAATATTTTCATCAGTGATCAAAGCTCAATTTACATCCTCCCAGAAAACGGTTCTGAAACGTCTTCAAGGATGGGATGTCATCCTTTTTTGAAAAATACTCGTATTTCAATTTTCGTTCAAGAGGTAAAATATGAAAATAGTTGTTTTGGTAGCAATGAAGGTTGAATCATCATAGTACCAAAAATAGACGTCTAGTTCGAGTCTCTCAAAACATAAAAATATATGGAATTAACACATTTATTTGGGTTGCTTTTATATTTATGAAATTTACGTGATGGAACAAAACATGATTTGTAAAAAAATGAGTTTAATGTATTCAACCTCATGGAAAGAAATCTGTAACTTCCGATTTTTCCAATTCAATTTAACTTGTTTTGTTGCAAAATGGCATTGGTTGTATTCATACTATACTGTTACTAATACTACTACTAATAATTTGTTCTTAGATATTTTTGTTAATGTTATCATTATTATTACTACTACTATACTTTTTACTTTTTTAATAATGGGTTTTTAACGGTTCCTTAGACATGTTCAAGGTTGTTACGGCATCCGCCTAGTCACCAACTAGGCATCTTGGTGTTAGGGAGTGGTCGTTAGGTGCCATCGCCTCACTGGAATAAGGTCATCCTTGTGGATAGTAAAATCATCAATTTTAACGATTAAAATTTACATGTTTAGAAACTATGTTGGAAGTTTTATAAAGTTGCAAACTCCACTTTACTATAGAATAAAAAATGATATATGGAGTACTAAATAAGTCAATAAAGTAAAACTATGTTAACCAAGAAAAGTTGACTCTGCGAATCAATTTGGGATGGATGGAGTATATACTATAGTTATTAAATATGGTGCGACCAGTCGCCTCGTTGTCGCCTAGGCGGGCACCTATTCGCCTAAGCAATAAGGCGATTTGTTGGCGTCGCGCCTCACCTCGCCTAACCTCCATAACAACTATGAACATTTTTTTTGTAGAAATCAGGAACTGAACCGTTAAGAAGTTATAACTCATGTGTAGAAATGAAACCGGGTTATAATGGTTCGGTTCCGAACGGTTGTTTGGTTCTTGGTTCTAAAATTTCACCCCTAACTACAACCTTACTTAGGAAGTGTTTGTGATTACTTTTACTTTAAAAAAAATGATTTTTCAAGTGATTTAGAAAAAGTGATTAATAGTGAAAATTGGTGGTGCCTAAGAAAGAAGTGATTTTGAAAAAGTAAAAGTTAGTAGTGTTTGACAAGAAAAGTGCTTTTTGTGTAATAGAAGAGTGAAAAGCAGTTTAAAGCATCCCTCCACCTGCATCTAGCTTTTGACTTTTAAGTGTTTAAGTTAAGTAGAAGTTGTCACTTGAAAAATACTAATTTCAGCTTTTTAAAGCCAAAGCTGAAAAACACTTTTATTATTTTTTTGCGAACACTCCCTTATATTGATTACTCCACACCCCAACGCGCGAAATATAAAATTACGTGTTTGGTAAAAAGTTGGCTGATAAATTGAAAATAAAGGTTTCCAAACGGGCTCTTAGTGTTACTGAATGGGCTCTTATTTTTTTAATTATATGTCAGGAGCTGATGGAAAAGAATCAGATACAGTAGCTGATCAGTTTCAAGCAACTTCGATCTCTGATGGTAATTTTTTTTCCTTTTCTCATGTACCTATGGTGTTTAGTAACTGTAGTGGCTTAACAAAAAGTGATTTTTTGTTTGCTTCCTCATACATACTACCTTAAATTAAACCCAAGGTGGCATGTAATTAATTTTCATTACTATACTGTGCACTTGTTGTAAGTTGTGCTTTATCAGGAGCATTGATTCCACTCTTGGTTCCCTAAATATTTTGTTGATTCCATATTTTGTCCACGCCTTTGACTTTATCCATTTCTGGTTCATGATTATCATTTTTCCCAGCTGTGGCCCTTTCATCCATACTTCAGGCATTCAAAATCCTTGTTTCAGATGTGTTGAGAATTCAACCAAAAAGACCACATATAAGCAAGAAACAATAGTTATAGATCAAAAGTGGACAAATTGTAAGGTGTGTACCAAATGTGGGATTAACATAATACTCGTAGGACCAAAATTGGAATTAGTTCTTATTAAGATATTTACTACTTTTCAAATAGTGGACGCTCTAGGTTTAATGGTGGTTTTTAAGAAAACTTAGTATTCAACAAATCAATTTTTATTATCTATACTTCTGTTAATGTTTTTGTTTGTTAGCTGGAGCAGGTTCTTCAGCTCCTAAGCAGGAAGAAGTGAAACGCCTTCCAGGTGGAAAGATAAAAAAGAAAGTAAGTACTGTTTCTGATTCGTTCTTTTAAATAAAAGCATTCATCTTTTATCAATGGTAATATTAGACCTTATTTGTATGTCTAGATAAGTATTGTTGACCTTTGTGTTTCCTTAATTCCTCTCAAGCTTGCATGCTTCATGGCGTTTGCATAGTTAAACTTAAAATGAAATAAATTTCTCAAAGCAAAATGTGGTATGAAGCATCACAAAATGCGCAACAATTGTTAGCAAGCTTTGGATTCACTAGTTTGTTAGTTCCCCATTAACTTGCAGTCCTAGAATGGTGTATTTTCTACCGTAGACATCCTACTCGCTGGTCTTGATTGTTTGTTGGTATGTCATATCGATGAAAGTGACTAGACTTGCACTTGTTTTAACAATAAATTGCGCAGTTCTTTGACCAATTTGCGAAGTAAATTTAAGTTTGGTGTATAACTTGTCTATTGCAGGACAAGCAAGAAGTTGTGATTGAAAAGATGACTCGTAATAAGAGAAAATGCATCACTACCATTAAGGGGCTAGAATTATTTGGTATGTTATGTTATCAAATATGATGTAGCTCATTCACATTGAAAACTCTGATGGACATCTGCTAAAGTGTGGTTATGTTATATCAGGCATCAAACTAAGCGATGCCTCAAAAAAGCTTGGTAAAAAGTTTGCCACAGGAGCCTCTGTAGTTAAGGTGCACTGAAATCTTGGCATTCAATTTAGTTCCTGTCTTCCCATATGGTTATTCCGTTTCTTAATATTTCTGACCTCTTTTATGATTATTTTTTCTAGGGCCCAACCGAAAAGGAACAGATTGATGTTCAAGGAGACATAGCGTATGACATTGTGGATTTTATTACAGAGACCTGGCAAGATGTAATGCTCTTTTTTCCTTCTGTTTTGTTTAAAATAATGGATCTTGAGCGGGTAGTCTATCTTTGGACTAGCAATCTTTTACTCCCTATCGTGGTTTAAGAATATTCTGATCAATTTCCTACACAGTTCCAACTAACAACTACTTTTTGAATGAAGACTTGCCTTCATAATGAGAGCTGATATTTTCATCTGAGAAATCTCTCTGAAAGAGCATGTGGCTTAAAGATAAAAATCAATTGATAACTTGAATCAAGTGTTGAGGGCTTTTGATTGCTTTCCATGGGAAATTATTTTCATTAGACGTGCTTTTCAGCAAAAGAGTTGTGCCATAATGGTGTTTACAGATTTGCAACCGTAGCCACCATATGAATCCATTTCATAACTTTAAACAAAAATGTGAATGCCCTATGGTTAAGATGCATTCTAAGCAGCCCATTGGGCTTTTGCATCTATAACAGATGGAATATAGACATATGGTTGTAGGTGCGTCACATCTATTTAGTGGTTGTATTCTTATAGGGATTAGTCTGCATCAGCAAGGCTAGGCCTTTTTGTGATTACAAGTCCTTTGAATTTTAAGCTTTTAATTTCTATATATATTGATTCTGCCTCCTGCCTTATCTAAATACGTGGTGCATTTTCATTTTATAGAGTAGTTTAAAGTAGCCAGAGAGAAGCTCCTGTTTGGGTCCACTAACTAATGTGGCACCACCATTCATTTTAATAATGGGGCCCTCTCTATAATTATACTCCCTAATTTGTAGTGATCAGGTCATAGAGCCCCGGATCAGGTCATCGGGTCATCAGACTCGGTAATAGAGCCCCGGAACTTTTATTATACACAAGTGATAAAGTGTTTTCCTGTCTGCTGTTTTCAGGTTCCTGAGTCTGCAGTTTTCTTTATTGAAGATGGGAAAAAAGTTCCGGCTGTATAAAATTTTGGAGGCAATTTCATGCAAAACCTTAATAACCTTTGATTATGCTATTGTGGACATGTATATATGCGAGATATTTAAACAAATTATCATAGTTGTGCACCTGTGCTTGAAGGTATAGATGGACATGTGAACAATGCAACTGCCTTTTGCATCTAATTTGACTTGCATCCTGATCATTTTCTAGTTTTTATCTTGACTGGCAATTCTTATATGTACTCCCAGGAACTCCGGCTTAAAGTTTGTGGCTAGATTTTAGCAATCTTTACCTGCTAAGATGATGCTTACTGTTATGCGTATTGTCTTCATTTTTTCTCATTCTAGGTCTGGGTAGGGGTATAGCCTGTTTTTTGGTTAGGCATATAGGAGTACTGGAATCATAAAATGAGGTGAACAGGATAGCATTCTCAGATGGCTTCAACTTTGGCGATGCTCTAAAGGTTTTCTAGAAAGGTGTGCTATATCGCCTCCCAATGCATCACTTATGTTTGTCAGCCATTCGGTACTAGGACAAGCTCATCTCCGACCACTGCATCAAGAGGATCCCCTTCTACATTGCACCCTAGGTTCATTGGATGGGCGTGCTACATCGAACATACCATGCGCCACTAGGTCCCAGTTCTCTCTTCATGAATCATGATTACAATGTCCACATCTAGAATTGGTATTGTGTCGTCCCGACCAAGTTTGTGTCAAACACCTATTGGGTGATGGTCGGTTTCATTATTCGCTGCAAGAAGTCCAGTCTTGATTTGTTCCATTACTTTTCCCAAGTCTAAGCTCAAGTATAACAAACTAAAAACAAAAAAAATATTTGTACCCACTTTTATACCCACTTTTGTATCCACCGTGTCTGTGAGGAATTTTTTTGTCTGTGAATCTCAGTCACAAACACATTATGTCTATGCAAATTATGTTGTCTGTGAATTGGATTGACAGACAAAAAAACTTATCACAGATATTGTGAGTACATGGTGGGTATAAAAGTGTGTACAAGAAGAAGTTCTCAACTAAAAAAGGTTACCTTATTGTCAACTCTCGAGCTTGTTGCTCTTTTTCAGAAGATTAAATATTCCATCAAAATATGGAAGGAGTTGTTTTTTAGGGTTTTGCTAGGTGTACACAAAATGTGTACACATTTTTGTACACTTGTCTGTCTCAGGCAGACAAGTTGTCTGTTACAGACAACTCATATATGACTTGTCTGTGACAGACAACTTGTCTGCCTGAGACAGATAAGTGTACAAAAATGGTGTACACATTTTGTATACACCAAACATTTTTCTCTGTTTTTTAAGGACATTGTAGAGTGTCAACAACAAAAAGCCAGCGCGGAGCGTGTTAGATAGTCGTTTGATTCTGGTCATTTTCCCTTTTGTAGTCTGCATGTCTCCCTCAGTCTACTCGTGAAGAATTGGATGTTGAGACTTGAGAGCATTCAAAAGGTTAATGCCACTTGAACTCCTGAAGGGTGAGCAGACAGTGAATGTTATGCTCATTCAATCCCACATGTTATGGACTTTGAGGGAGCATTCTAGATGTTCTCGTTGTATGTTTCATCTCAGGTACTAGGTAGGGATGGTTCAGTATGATATATCGATATTTTATCTCATACCTTTATCGTACCATAAATTTTTTGTATGCAAAAATACATACTGTTAGCTTACTGAAATTTTAGTATAGCTAATTTTGGTATATCAAAATAAAGTACGATAAATGAGTTGCATCGCTAAATTATTACTCCCTCCGTCCAATATAAAAGGCACATTTGTTTTTCCACACATTTTTAGGGTGAACACTGTTTGACACCGTTTGACATTGTTTATACACTATTTGGCACTGTTTGGCATTGTTTTGTTTGTCAAAAGGGAAATGTGTCTTTTATATTGGAACGGTCCAAAAAGGAAAATGTGCCTTTTATATTGGGACAGAGGGAGTATGATTTAATATAACAAATGATTATATGCCAAATGAAATATAAAAAATCAGTGTAAGTTGTGATATACAAAAATCATAAATGAAATTGATTATACATCAATACAAACTTCTTCAAAACCTTACAACGTAATGTACTCAATTCAAACTTCATGACAAAAACTCTTATAAAACTCAACAATATAAGATATCAAAACTACACTTCAACTACTAATTCAAATACATATAGCAAAGTCAAAAAAGACAAAATATTCCATGGAGAAAATTCAAAAAACAACTAATGCAAATCTATAACTTCATTATCACATCAATAAAACACCTACACCAGAATTTCATCAATTTTTTCAAAAGAATATGATTCTGCCCTTGATATCCAATCTTTAAGTATAAAATAGTTACGATCTATTAGAAGATTTATAAATTATTGATTAAAAGTAATATATGAAAAAGACTTACTAATTACATAATACTATCCTCCGTTCTCTTTTAATCGCAACATTAGACTTTTTGCACTATTCACATATTCTACTTTGACTATATTTTACTCATTAATGTATTATAAATTAATTTTTTAAAAAATATAATTAAATTCTTCTCATTCTAAATATTCAAAATATGAGTTTTTTGAATTTTTTACTAATAAGGAATGAAAGATATTAATGGTCAAACTTGTGCGTTGGCAAACGTGAAATGTTGATTGTTGCAATTAAAAGGGAACGGAGGAAGTATAATATATATATAATTATATCTTTCCAATATTATGACTTCCTTGATGAACAATGCAACCTTCCCACATAAAACACATCTTTTATTTTTCCACATATTGTCACTCCGACTTGTCTTGCACACTAATTAAACATATCATTAAATATGTAAAAAATATGTAAAACATATTTTTATGCAAATTTTATAAAGTTGTTGACTTTCCTAAACTACCCCCACCATTCCCACGTGCTGCACAAAAAAGCAAAAAGAAGAAAGCTCAAAAATAACTTTATTGAGATAAAAACCAACTGAAGGGGTAAAAAAAGGGATAAAAGTACATTGATGTTGATGGTTCTACAGTATAAAGCCTACTCCTTTTTCTTTCCGTAAGAGAGCTATGCGTACACCTCCAAATTTTTGGAGGGATCAATCTACAAATCAAGATGAAATTTCAAACTCCCCCCCAACCCAAAATTTACACTTTAAGAGGGTACAACAACTGAAACCCTATCATTTACTACCGCAATGGATCTTTCTCAGTCTCTCTCTCTAGAACCCGAAGCTTCCTTAAATGGAACTGCGGGGAGGTACAACTTCTATAAATGGCCATGGAGGTACTCCTTTCTCAACTGCCTTGACGGTCAAGGCAGTCAAGGTTCAACAAAGAAGTGACCTAAACAAAATAATGCACAAAAAAGCAGTACGGTAGAAATGCTTTTAGCTAACTTCAACAAAGGAATACTTCAGAGGGGCATTGAAAAAAGATACAGCTGAAAAATTCAACTGTTCTACGCGTACGGTTAACACTTTGTGGGCCAAAACAAAAAGGCAACTGAGTGATGGGGTGCCTATATATGTTCAAAGCCAATGTAAGGGTAACGTGGGTAGAAAAAGAGTTGCTTTTGACTAAGAAAGGTTAAAATGCATTCCACTGCATAAAAGAAAGAACATCAGGTCACTGGGATTTGCCCTGCAGATTCTAAGTCTTCTGTGCACAGATTAGTAAAAGATAAGCAAATAAAGAGGCATTCAGTTCCATCAAGCCCTTACTTACACATGCTGGAAAGGTGAAAAGGTTACAATTCTGTCGATCTCATATTGTGCCTAGGCCTTTCCCACAAAATTCCACTTTTCATCATTTCTTTGACCACATTCAACATTGATGAAAAGTGATTCTTTTTATCTAAAGAAATCACAACATAATACACTCATCCAGATGAGGTAGACCCCTACAAAGCTGCTCAATCCGAAACAATTATACCCAAAATAATGTTTTTAGCAATTGTAGGTTGGCCTAGGTTTGGGGAGGACGGGGCAGTGCTATGGGATGGAAAGCTCGGTATCTTTCCATTCACTTATGAGGAAAAGGCAAAGAAATCTAGTAAGAACAGACCAGCAGGCACAATGGAGACCAAACCCACATTAAGTGTGACTAGAAATGTGATTAAGGACATGATGCTACACAAAGTATTACCAGCAATCAAACAAAAATGGCCAGATGCACAAAACAGGAACATCATCATTCAACAAGACAATGCAAACTATATTGAAGTAAATGATGCGGATTTTGTGGAGTGTGCAACTGAAGATGGGTGGAACATAAAGCTAAGTTTTCACCAACCAAACAGCCCAGACCTTAATGTGTTAGACTTGGTTTTTTTGTGCAATTGACTCACTGAAGGAACAGAAAGCCCCTAAAAAAATTGTTCAATTAACTGAAGTTGTGATAACTGCTTATGATGAGTTAACAGTTTACAGTTTAAACAAAGTTTTCTTAAGTTTTCAGTGTGTCATGGGGCAAATTTTGATGCACAAAGGTGAAAATAACTTTAAGCTCAAACATATTGGGAAAGACAAGCTTGACAGACAGGGGATGCTACCACTCAATATGGAAATCAATCCTGAGTTGGTGGAGGAAGCAAAAACATCACTTCTACAAATGCAATCAGGGGCTGAAACTGAACCACTTGCCACTGAGTTCATAAGTGAAGCTCAAGGTGATCTTCAATAATGAACTTAGATCACAAAGTGAGGTTTTTGTATGTACTCACTGAAGGACAACTTTTTTGTTAGTACTGCCTTACATACATGCCTAGCCTACAATTTTACAATGTAGTGGCATGGTAGTAGTTTTTGGTAAATCTTTTGTAAACTTAAAGGAAAACATGTTTGATTTAAAGTCTAATGTAATATTCAACCCACACATAATGACATACATTGGCTATCACAGTAGTATGCAAACACCTTTGGCATAGCCTCCTACACTAAATGATAATGGGTGGCACATGTTTAAAGGTAGCAAAGCACCCTAGGTTTTAAGACAATGACCATCATCATGATTACAATGAATCAAATAAGCACACAAGCCTCATCATCATTAGTAAGCAGATAAGCACATCAAAGCCCAAGCTAAGCACAAGCTCAAAGGCATCAACATTTGTGAATTTTACAGAACAGATTACCAGATAAGCACATCAAAGCCCATCATCATTCTAAATCAACAAAATCATAAGCTGAGGAATCCAAGGGTCCATTTCAAATTTCAGAAAATAACATAGCCTCCTACCTTTAATCAAAGTGGGAAGCACATGTAAAAAGGCATCAACATTTGCATATTTTTCATTACAGATAATCAGATAAGCACATCAAAGCTTTTCATCATTATAAATCAACAAAATCATAAGCTGAGGAATCCAAGGGTCCATTTCAAATTTTAGAAAATAACATAGCCTCCTACACTTAATCAAAGTGGGAAGCACATGTAAAAAGGCATCAACATTTGCATATTTTACAGAACAGATTACAAGATAAGCACATCAAAGCCCATCATCATTCTAAATCAACAAAATCATAAGGTGAGCAATAGATACCTTCCCTATGGAGTGTCCCGGAATATGTCAGCGTACAAATCTGGGAATAGATAATCAAAGGAGTTCACCTCCTCGCCTTCTTCCACCGATTCAGGAGACTCATCGAAGTGGGAGCCATACCTCTTTCTTCATTTCCAACCCGGATCCGTTTCCGATGATGTCTACCCGCATGCATTCTCAGATTCATCGAAGTGGGAGGCAAACTTGTTTTTCGCTTCCAACCCAGATCCGTTTCCGATTCATTCCACCCGCATGCACCCTTAGACTCATCTTCATCGGCAGTGGCTAGGAGGGGAGATTGTTCGGAAACTTTGACCACAACTTGGTGGAAATCCGACGGGCTAGGGTTGGGACAGATGTGGGTGTGCATCGGAAATGGGATGGGGATGCATGTTGGAATTAAAAGATGACACGGAGGAAATGAGAGTTCCATGGTTCGAAGGAGTGATTGATTCCTCTTCCATATGGAGAAAGAAGAGGGACGAAAGCTGTAGAGGAGAGAAGGCGAGCGGGTTGAAAGGGAA